CTTCCTGAGTACTGCACTGCCTTTCTGAGTATGCACTGCCTTCCTGAGTATGTATTGCCTTACGAAGTACTGTACTGCCCTACTGAGTATGCTTACTGAGTACTGCACTGCTTTCTTACTAAGTCTGCACTGCCTTCCTGAGTATATGCACTCTCTTACTGAATACTGCACTGTACTGAATGAAGGTGTCCACATCCACATCCTGCCTGGCACTGAGTGAAACAAGTTAGGGAGGAAAAGAGGAGAGGCCCAGAAGTTTAAACTTGTCATCTGATCCCTTCATGCCCCTGCTCTCTTCCTGCTTTCATTGTGGGCAAATTTTACGATGTCCTGGTGAAACACCAAGGACCCTTTCGGTAGGAACGCCTGTTGCCATGATAGGAAAATCAGAAGACTGCACCTCATTGACAGGTTGTTACTTTAAAGCAAGGTCTTTTGAAATTTTTCATATGTATTCTTCTGAGATTATAGTGAATCACAGGAGAAGGTGAAAAGCTGTTAATTCCAGATCCTGGGGTTAATTAGCTCCCTTAGATCATGTGCCTGTAGGAAAGTATAACAGGTATGGTGATAGAGACTTACGTTTAGTTTCCTCTTTACAGGTTCTTAAATCAGGAGATACTTTAATTGCAACAGAAAGCAAGTGGTACAGGAAAAGAGACATTTTTCTAGCAGAATTCAACCCCAACTTCTGTCTAATGGGAGCTGAGACGAGAAGATTTTCAAGTCCTGTGTAGAATGCTCCCATGAGCAACACGGGAAAGGTGCCTCTGGCTGACACTTGGAAGCAAATCCAGCAGATCGTCCCCCTCCATCTTCCAATGTGCGGTCTCCCTGCTCTTAGCCCCAGGAGCGCAAAGAGGGACCACCTCTGTGCAGGGAGCCCTCAGGGCCCTGTGTCCGTAATGGATTCAGGCACATTGGCCGTGCCGGGGAGGTGAGAGAGGCCTCCGGTGCATCCATGTCGATGATGTGGCCGCTCACCCTCCTCCCCCCGCATCCTGTCACGCCTCAGGCCTGCGCTTCCCGGACACCAGCTGTCACACAGGAAGCTGCAGCCTCTCTCTCTCCCACCTCCTTTGCTGGCTGTAGCTGCAGGATCATGGCCTGCAGAGTTTCCTTCACCATCTGGAGCTCCCTCTTGAGAGACTGTGCGCACATTGTTAAGGAACACACGCGAAGGTGACGGGCGGCCCTCGGCAGCCTCCGAGAGCTCTAATAAGAGCACGTGTGCTTGCTGGAAGCAGATGGGCACTGACATCTAATTGTAGTTTCAAGTTCTTCCAAATTGTGGGAATTAAATATTAATACAAATTTTACACTTCTTGTAAGAGCGATTGCCATCTCCATGAGGCCTGAGGTTATTAACTATCTCAAAAAAGGAAGAGTTGACTGGTAGACAGAGACAGATGGCCAACTGGGAGGTGCCGTGATGGAGGGTCAATGTGACTGGGATTCCTGCTAAGCCCCAGACAGGGGCGGCTCAACTGCCCCATCCAAGTGCTTGGACAGCCCAGAGGGCAGAGGGCTGGAAATTAGAGGGTCCACAAGAATTCCAGTATTGGGGGCCACCGTAGGTCCAGACTCGGAGTCGTGAGGGACCATAGTCCCTGTTGGCCATGAGCCAGACTTGTTACCTTGTACAAATCACTTCGAACCTCAGTTTTCTGGTGAAACAATGATTTCCAAACCCCTGTAGGTTCTAATCTGCTGTCCTGTGTTATCATACCTCCCAGGGATTTGTAAAATAGCCATTCAAGGTACTCAAGATTTGATGGAGGAGTGCAGGGAGCTTGCCCTTTCTGGGTTGGCTGGTTGGTTTTTCCTTAAACAGCTGGGTTCTTACTTTCCTCACCTTTAAAGTTATTTCTTACCTAGAGAAAACCATCATAGAGAACTTAGCAAATAATCATATGGGCTAAATAAGGCTGTCATTCTCTTAAGAAATTAGCCCTTTTCTGGGACTATGTTTAACAAATGGTTCTTTTTCTATTCACGGTGAGGTCCCTGTTTCCTTGCGTACCTATCGTCAGAACAACTCAAAGATAAACAGGACAAGAGACAGATTGAATTCTTTTGGTTTCATAAGCAAATTAATTTCACTTCATCCAAGAGCAATGAAGGGGAAGTATGGGAATATGTCACTTAAACATCACTTAAATACTGTTAAATCATCACATGAGGTCAAACCATTTAAGTATTCCTAGATCAGATATGGAGAAAACAGGGAGAAAGCTTTGGGAAAAGTAGCTTGCAGAGATCTTACCACTCACAGACCATCAACACTACAATGTTGTTTATATTTAAGTACAAAGTCAATGCAATGTCAAGAGAAAAAGATACCCCCAGGTTATAACTGTAGAAAGCTTTCTCTTTCTTTTTTAAATAAAGAACTCCAGAGGATCCTGGGAATTATGCAAATGAACTTTTCCTAAGCAAAAATGCTGAACCACCCTGAAAAGCTTTTGGCAGCTTCACCAGACTTCATCATTTGTGTAATTTACATTCATTTACTAGGATGGTTCGCTCCTTGCACTTGAACTTGAGGGGAATGAGGGTGGGGATGAGTGGGTGCAAGGAAAGAAAGAATCCCGTATTTACCTAAAAAAATAAAATAAAATAAAAGGCTTCATTTTCTTCCATTTCTCTGGACAACTCTGCTAATCTTTAGTGAAAACAACTATGATTTTATATGAGTAAAAGACTCATATTTACCAGACTAAATACCAAGCTGCAATTTAATCACAAAGTTATGTTACATTTAATAAAGAATAAGCATAGAGCTTAAGTAGTTTATGAATCCTGAGAAACTCTTGAGATTTAATTACCTTTAATATGCAGCCTGGGACTACACTCCCCTATTTGTAATTATTATTGCTAAAAGATGACACTGGTTTTTAGAGAGAGGATTGAACCAAAATAAGATGTTTCTTAAAGAACTTGTACAATTCCTGGCCCTGGCAGAACACACTGAAAGGTTTTTAAAAAGAGACCAAGAGAGAAGCCACAAAGGAAAAAGACTAAGTTATATAATTAAACTAACACATCAGCCCTTCATAGAACAATCAGCAATGACACACGGAGGAATCAGAAGACAGGGATTGAAGCAAATGATCACCAGCAACGGAAAACTGGCAAATCACTTAATGCTTTCATTTTCTCACTTGGAAAATGCACATTTTCAGGAGCTCTCCTCCACTAGCTAGAAGGGATACTGCCCAATTCATGAATTGTTTAATAAAACCAACTAGATCTTCAAAAACATAAAATAAAAATAGAAAATAAAAATAAATAAAGTGCATATTCTCATACCTTCTTCCCAAGGATAGAATTAAAAGAAATGTTTTTTTTCTTGTAAGCATATAGGGCCTTTTGTGAGGCGCTATGAAATGTAAGGTTTATTTACTAACGCAGTGGATGTAGCGAACAGCCTAGGCTCTGTCGAAGCAGGACTAGACATCAGAAATCCTGGAAACCTCATTTAGCGAGCCTATAGAGTAACGATCACCAAAATGATTAAAATCATGTTTTTATTACAAGTGTTGACGAGGATGTGCAGAAAAAGGAACCCTCTTGCACTGTTGGTGGGAATGCAAACTGGTGCAGCCACTGTGGAAAACAGTATGGAGGTTCCTCAAAAAATTAAAAATAGAGCTACCCTATGACCCAGGAATTCTACTACTGGGCATTTACAAAAAAGAATATGAAAACACTAATTAGAAGAGATACATGCTTCCCTATGTTTATTGCATCATTATTTACAACAGACAAATTATGAAAGCAGCCCAAGTGTCCATTGATAGATGAATGAACAAAGAAAAACTGATAATGGAATGTTACTTGGCCATATCAAAGAATGAAATTTTGTCATTTGCAACAACATGGATGGACCTAGAATATAATGCTAAGTGACATAAATCAGAGAAAGACAAATACCATATGAGCTCATTCATATATGGAGTTTAAGAAACAAAACAAACAAAAATATTCTTTTTTTTTTTTTTTTTGGTTTAAGACTCTTAACTGTAGGGAACACACTGATGGTCACCAGAGGGGAGGTGGGTGGGGGGATGGGCAAAACAGGTGAAGGGGATTAAGAGCACACTTATCATGATGAGCACTGGGTGATGAATGGAAGTGTTGAATCACTATTTTGTGCACCTGAAACTAATATAACACTGTACGTTAACTACACTGGAATATTTTTTATAAACTGAAAAAAATCATGTTTTTATTTACCAAATACCTCTCTCTAACCAACCTGCCTGTATGATGCTTTACAAATGTAAGTTCCAAAACATTTTGATTGCACTAAAATGGAAGAGAATCCAGGATAAAATGTGCAGTGGGAGTGGGGAGGACCAAGTTACAGAACAATTTCTATGGAATGAAAAACCTATACACATAAGTGATTTCTGCTAGAAAAGTGCCTTGGAAGGACACAGTGGTAAACTTCTAGGTATTGATCCTGGGAGGAATATGCAGCCTTTTATTTTTTTTTCATACTTCTGTAATATTCAAATGGACATGCATACTTTTATATTTAAATCAATATATTTATAAAAGAAATCACTTGAAACATTTCACCATTAAGCAGTTGGGGAAATAAAAGAATAGAAAGAGAATAGAAAGAGATCCTTGTTCTTTCCTTCACTCATTCAAATATTCAAACATTTCCTGAGCTCCTACTGTGCACTAAGAAAGGTTCTGGGGTGCCTGGGTGGTTCAGTCGGTTAAGCGACTGCCTTCGGCTCAGGTCATGATCCCAGGGTCCTGGGATCGAGTGCCGCATTGGGCTCCCTGCTCCGCGGGGAGCCTGCTTCTCCCTCTCCCACTCCCCCTGCTTGTGTTCCCTCTCTCGCTGTGTCTCTCTCTGTCAAATAAATAAATAAAATCTTTAAAAAAAAAAAAAAAGGTTCTGAAAAAAAAAGAAAAAGAAAGTTTCTGGATGTAGGAAGCACAGGAGTGAACTAAACAAAGTCACGGCCAACCTGCCATGTAGTGCCAGCAAGTGGAACAGAAAATAAATTCACACGGGCACATATGCAGACTGCTAGATGGGGGTGGTAGAGGGTTTGGAGCAAGGGAGTGACTGATCACTCCAGCCACTTTCATCACTAGTAGGTTCAAGGGGGCAAAGGAAGAAGCAGGGAGATCAGAGGAGGTGGTTGCAATAATCCAATAATCCAGGGAAGAAAAGATCACGTACTGAACCCAGCTAGTGGCCGTGGAGGTGAGAGGTGACCAGATTCTGCATATGTTCTAAAGGTTGAGCCACGGGCATATGGTGATGGACCAGATGTGGAATGTGAAAGACGAAAAGGCATTGAGAATGACTCCCAGATTTTTTATCTAAGCAATGAACTTGCAATTTATCAAGGAGATGACTGAACATGAGTTGGATTTTTTTGAGGGTTGGGAGGAATTTTGGAAAAGACTATTTGTCAGCCAAGGGGAAATGTTGAGTGGGAAGCAGACATGAGTCTGAGGTTTGGGGTGAGATCCAGCCTGGAGATACGTACTTGGAGGTTATGTTGAAAAATATATTTTAAAAAATATTTTCATACTTTCTCACTTTATTCCATTTGCTACAGCTAACCAAGATCTTAAGGTTACTAAGTACAGTAGGTTTAGAATCAGCGTTTCTGATTGTTAGTCCAATAAACTCAACATGGGAGCCCATTGACATATTTGACCTTGGTTTTTATCAAACCACTGAGCAAATAAAGTAAAACTCAAGTATTGAATTTTAGGTAGATATGATGGAGGCTCACTCATCTAAGTATAAGAGTAAGTCTCAAAGAGCTGAATGATTCTTGTGATTGCCTGTGCCCTTGAGACTTCTAGAGCTAAATATAAAGTCCCCCTGTAACAGATATGCCACCAGATTATCTGTGGCGTCTAAGAAAATGAGCACATTAATTATAAGAATGGCACAAGGATTGACATGCCAACATCTTTAAAAACACCTTTGGAGCCCAACACCATTCTTTACCACCTTGGGGTAGACTATTCACATATTAAGCAACTGTATAACTTCTTGCTAACAAAGTTATGCAAGCTGCATTTGCAATCCATAAAGGGGTAAGATAGTAAGACACCTTTTCCAGATGTCATGCAGGCATACGGTGGTAAGACAATATCGTCATTT